CTTCTTGTAGTGAGGGGCCCAAAACTGAACACAATATTCGAGGTGCAGCCTTACCAGTGCCGAGTACAGGGGCACGATCACTTCCCTGCTCCTGCTGGCCACACTATTTCTGATACAGGCCAGGATGCCGTTGGCCTTCTTGGCCACCTGGGCACACTGCCGGCTCATGTTCAGCCGGCTGTCGACCAGCACCCCCAGGTCCTTTTCCGCCAGGCAGCTTTCCAGCCACTCTTCCCCAAGCCTGTAGCGCTGCATGGGGTTGTTGTGGCTGAAGTGCAGGACCCGGCACTTGGCCTTGTTGAATCTCATACAGTTGGCCTCGGCCCATCGATCCAGCCTGTCCAGGTCCCTCTGCAGAGCCTTCCTGCCCTCGAGCAGATCAACACTCCCGCCTAACTTCGTGTCATCTGCAAAGTTAAGTAAGAAGCAGCTCACAGTGCTGAATGTTTTGAAGAGTCTGTAACAGTCAGCAAACTAGTGTTACCGGGAGCCATGTTGTTCATTTACAATGCCCTGCGGGTATAGTGAAATTCTTCCTGGAAATTGTGCAGGTGAAGCCTGTGAGTGGAGAGCCTAGTCTTCATTTTAGTTGATGGAGTGGGTGAACATGAGAGTACACATGAGGATGTATAAAGATCTGTCTTTTGTATTCTGTCCCTACCGTGATAATTGTGGCTAACTTTTGCACCAGAAGATCTCTATGAGGTGATAGAAGGTGTAAATATAAGGGCACAGTCTGTCCCTGAGAAGCAGCCCTTTAAAGCGTTGCATGGGGTTGTAGGCATGCAATCTCTGTTGGTCTAATGATGCTTCAAAAAAGGAGCCCTCTAGGGTGACTAAGAAATACGTGGGGGTTCACTGTGTCAGCTTTAACTGGGCACAGAAAAAGTAAAATACAGCAAAATCCACTAAAACCAGGGGGTTACAGTTTTACTTTTATCAATTGGGTGTCTGAAGCTGCTCTCTAATCCCAGTCTAACACTGTATTTAGGTCAGCGAAGGAAGTGGCAGTCTCTCATCATTCAGTTTCCCGGTTTCTGGGTCCAGTGCACCTGAGGTCTTTGAAAGTGGTCTGAAGAAGAATACCAGTAAGGTTTCTTTGGTGCTTTCAGTATTTTATACATGTGAACTGGTAGCTGAGATCTTTCACTTTCTCTAAAATGTTGTCATTATGTGCTGTAGGCCTGAAAGTGATTCCTTAGTCATTAAGATGCTGCAGGGGTGGTTATTGTACAGTACCTCAGACATATCTTCGAACAGCTTTTTATAAAAGAAACTAGCAGCTTGTTATACAAGCAGTTTAGATGTTGAGAATCTAAACTGAGCCATAATTTTCTATTTAATCTGAATACGTCTTCAGTCAAGCTGTCTCATTCATAGAAATCTGGATACTGTATAGTTAAATTCAAATAGATATGGAATAGCTGTCCATATCTAAGTAACTTAGAACAAAGTTACTTCTGACCAAAGTATTGCTAGCAGATAATAGTTTTTTCTATTCTATTTGAGCATGCTTAGCAGTCTTATTCCAAAAGATATTTAAACGGAGAGAATGAATGACTTTCTCACCCATTCTAGAAGTATTTCAATCCTGCTAATTTAATGACAGCCACTTTCAAAATCTGCTTAAAATGTATGTCTATAATAAAGCAGCAGAAAGTTAGAATCATCATAGTGGTTTGGATAACTTTAATGGAAAAGTTTCCTAAAAATGCTCGTTTAACTTTTCTTTTTTTTAATTCATTTGACAGCAGCTTCTGAAATACAGGGACTAAGAACAGTTGAAATAAAAAAGGTAAGTTACAGCGTGAAGTGGTATGTATCAGGAACAGGTGTGTTTACAGAAAGGAAGAAGTCTGACCCTGTTAATCATTTTGAGAGAGGAATTGGTGTGGCAATAGCTAATTAATTTGCCTGTCTTTTCAGGTCAAGACTGCATGATCTCCACTGCCTATATTTTTATGTAATATCAGTGCGATTTATGCTATCACATTTTGTGACCTGTTTTGAAAGCAAAAGGAGGAAGGATTAGTAAGAGATAATGGGACCTGGTTTTACTGTTATCAGACTGAGTTAAATCCAGACTCTGTTTTAGTGAAGTCAAGGGAACTGTACTAAAATTGCAAGCCTGTTGTTTTGTATTTCATACTTTTCTTCACACGTGTTTTTAATGGGTACACTCGTACATGACAGCTGCCAGATTTTCAACTGAGGAATTCAGTTGACTTCATTATTTACAGGAGCATGAGATCTGAGTCACAGACTGCCGCTGATTGTCCAAAATATTGATGTTTGATTTAGCGTGGCATCTAGTTCACTTGATTACATGGATCGTATTTAGCCAATTCCTTTTTACATTAGACTCTGCAAATACCAGTTTACAACAGCAGTTTTTGCAGTTAGGTAGTAGGGTGTTGTACAGTAGTGAACAGCTAGTTTTGTTCTTCAACAACAGGACACTAGGGGGAGCATAAAGATTAATTCTAGTCTTTGGGAGGTTCATAATAGGAGATTGCTTGTCCTTAATATTGTCTGTATCAGTCCCATCTGTCCAGTTTTCCTTGTCCAGACTTTCTGTGCTGGCATTAAGGGTCTGGTGCTGAATTCTGTAAGTATTTAGTTTGGTTAAGATAAAACATACAACTAAGTCGGCAAATTGTCACCTACTACTGATAGGAAGAAACATATATTGTGCTCTCTGTTCTTTCTTGAAGTGATACAAAGTGTATTAGCTTAAAAAATGTCTTGAGACATAGGAATTCTGATTTTCGTAAGATAGGGCCTTTAGTAATTTTTTGAGATAAGCCTACAATTCTCTGTATGTGTTTTTCTTTCCAGAAAAATCTAATCTTTTTTCATGACAATAACAGGGCCCTGCAGATTCACTAGGAGTGAGCATTGCTGGAGGTGTAGGAAGTCCTCTTGGAGATGTTCCGATATTTATTGCCATGATGCATCCAAATGGAGTTGCAGCTCAGACTCAGAAACTCAGAGTAAGTTAATTGTTAAGAAGGTTGCGAAGACTGCACGGGTAATGCACAGTAATTACTCTAGGCAGGCAATAAATTAGCAGTTTAATGATACAGTCATAAGTGCTTTTGGCTGTGACAAGAATTTTTGCTGTTTGGATTGACGAAACGTTAACTCAGATTGGTAGCATGGTAAAAGGTAATTGCTGAAAGATACTGACTTTGGGAAGGAAGTCCTAAAGCAACCTTGGCTCATAGAAGTAGTCAGCTTGTGAAAATTAAAAGTAGAGAAAGTGGTTCAGAATGATGGATTCTGTAAATGAGCTCCACTACAAGCGTGGTGGACATTCCTGCAACTGTATGTATGCAGTCTGTTTTATCTCTCATGTTTTCTATGCTTATCTGTCTTAGGATAGAGACAGTACTTTTTAGGTTCTGAGTTAAAGTGGGAGGTCTTATCTGATACAGCACTTACGTGCATACTGTATCAGTACTGTATTCAACCAACCAGAGGTAGCTGAATTTGACTCATGCTCCTTGGAAAATGGACAGTGTTATTTCAGGATGAATTCAAACATATAATCTCTGATGATAATTTACTACTTCAGTCTGTCTGTCTTCAGGTGACTTGCAAAATGCACCTCTTCTTTTACATGCTGTATATTTCTGGAGTATTAGAATCAATTCTCTAAAGCATCGTTACTTTTTTACACTGAATACACTAAACCAGTGCAGTTTGCTAATTGTGATGTTGAATTTTATACCTTTTTATTGGGTCATTATGTAGTTCAAAGGTGATTTGCCTTCGAGAGAAAATGTACGGTGAACAGTTGCTAATTTCTTTCTTCCTGCCCTATATCACTGATAAAGTCTGGCTAAAAGCAAGTACACAGATCTGCTATTGTTGAAATAAAGTGACAAATAAGTCTAGGTAACTAAACTTACTGTTAGTTAGATTTTCTACATTTTGTTCTGCAGGTTGGGGACAGGATTGTTAGCATCTGTGGAACATCTACTGAGGGCATGACTCACTCCCAAGCTGTTAGTCTGTTAAAAAATGCTTCAGGCACTATTGAGTTGCAGGTAAAAAATCTTCAGTGACATTTGAAATATTTTCTGAATACTATTTTGCCAGCTGCTACAATGAATTATTTTAATGTCAGCATTCTCATCTTACCGGTTTACGAAACTCTGTTCCTAGGTTGTAGCTGGAGGAGAAGTAAGTGTCATAACTGGTCAGCAGCAGGATCCACCTACGTCCAATCTTTCATTTGCGGGACTAACTTCAACGAGCATTTTTCAGGATGATTTAGGGTCAGTAACTATAGAATATACAACTTCTGTAGCCTGTTATTTTAGGTGGAACTCAACCTAAAAGACTTACAAATTCTAGCAAATAATGGATGAAATCGTTTGACTTAATGATGACTTAAAGATTTGGTATACATGGGACCTGTAGGCTATAGGTCCTCTTCTGCATTTTTCATGGTGTGATTTGCTGTGCTGCTTTATTTTGCCCCTCCGTAGAGTTATGATGTGATTTGATTTCTTCTCTGTAAATACAGCCTCCTTTGTTTCACTGAGCCTTGGTGGCTGAGATTAATTGATATGCCCGAAATGTTTTTTCTCAGACTTAAATAGCAAGGCCCTTTCCACAGTGGTACCTGTGTTTCCATAATGTGATTTCTAGCACTGGGCAATCAGGAGCATCGAATTTTTCTGGTATACAAGGTATACTGCTTCTGGTATACTGCAAGGTACAGCTATGTAAATAGGTTTCGCCTCAAACTCCGACGTAAATCTGAGGCATTTTTCTTCTAGGAACATCTAGGAACAGTGAAAGAGAGAATGCAGTTCTTTAGCCACACAGATCTACTTCAAAAGACAGAACTTCAACATTTCTTATAGTCAAAGTATGTGTGGGGAAAAATACCTATAAATAGTCTGTATAAACGCATACATACCAATACACAGTCATATATTAGAGGCAGAGAGAAGCAATTAAACCTTACAACATAAACTATTGGGGCTAATCTGAGATGTTTTTTAGGAGGTGTAATGGGTTACAGGACTTTTTAAAGTAGATGTTTGTTATGGAGATTTGAGGTACTGGTATTGGCATCTCTGCTTCGCTAGTAAGCACTGTTAGTGGGACGTTGCAGCCATAACTGTGCTCTGAGCTGGGTGCAAGAGGTGTTTGAAAGAGCTACCTTTAAGAAATAATGAGGGCATTAGGCAGTTACAGTGTTTTGAGTATGTTTAGTATGAACTAAAATAGCCAGTTCGTTATAATAAAAGCATTTGTCATTATAGTGGAAAGAGCAATGTATTGTTTAGTTTGAAAGGAAAAATGTTTTTTGTTGCATATTCTACATGTTAAATCATAAGTTTAGACAATATTGCAATACTCTTTTTCCTTTTCTTAGACCTCCTCAGTACAAGACCATTACCCTGGATAGAGGACCAGATGGCCTAGGCTTTAGTATTGTGGGTGGTTATGGTAGTCCCCATGGAGACTTACCCATTTATGTGAAGACAGTGTTTGCAAAGGTAATTTGTAAATTTGTTCAGTCAATCCATATATTAGCTCGTTCACGGCAGCTACTGTCTTAAATCATGGCCTGAGTTTGAAGCCAAAGGATTGTTACAGTTTCTCACAGCTTTTCTGCTTGAGTGCAAGTGCTGGTCAAAATGTGCTTGCAGCATTTAAAGGCTATAGTCTTAGGAAGATTCTGAATTTCCAAATGCGACTCTGCACATGGCAGAGTCTTACTCAACTCTCAAAACTGGAACTGTGCACATACTTATAAGAACAACCCCCTTGCCTTATGTTTAGAGTGTGTTTTCTTCAGGTAGTGGAAGGGACTGTTTTATTTATTTTGACTGAGAGTCTGAAGGGTAGACCAAGATAAAATAATTGAACTTGGTCTGGACCTTTGGAGAAGTTCAGGTACTGACCTGGATTTGATAGTTTGGACTTCCTTCCCTAGGGAACAACCCTGAGTCAGAAAAAAAATGGAATCAAGAATCCCAAACTTCTGTGGTAAATCAAAGTACAGAGCTGGGTTTTGATTATTGAATTCTTCTACCAGTTGGTGAAAACTTCTTCAGGTCTTGAAAATCTTACTTCTATGATAGTAGAGTTAAATGTTATACTAGTTGGACAAACAGGGATGAAGGAATATAAAAATCCTGTAGATCTGATTTCAAGATGTTGTGAAACTTAGGGCAGGGCATGTACTAGCAGGCTGTACTACAATTGACTGTAGTTGAATCATTGAAAATCAAAAAAGGTTTAAGGGTTTTTGTGCACTGAACCCATCTTGTTCAGACCATAAGGACAGTGTGGCAGCGAGAAGAAGAAATGCATGAGTTACATGTTGTCTCGTTTCAGGGTGCAGCAGCAGAAGATGGACGCCTGAAGAGAGGGGATCAAATCATTGCTGTGAATGGGCAGAGTTTAGAAGGGGTGACCCATGAGGAAGCAGTTGCAATCCTGAAAAGGACAAAAGGAACAGTCACTTTGACTGTTTTGTCGTGAACTGGCTGCCCAAAGGGGTAGGGTCAATAAGACTATATTATTTACATTCCGCATAGCAAAGAGAATGGAAATGTTTATATAGCCTTCTTGCTCTTCCAGCTTCACAGGACTGTGTTACAACACTGAAGAAAAATAACACTTAACCATATTTTTGTATACAATAGAAGTATTTCTCTCACTGTCAAACCACTGGGATGGAGTTATGTCAACTATGGAAAGACATGGGTATTTTTCCTATCATTATTATTATAACAAATGCTTGTAAGCCACAAAAAAAAAAAAAAGAGGAATGTTTGCATTAATAACCACACAACAAAACTGGAATGTTTTGCTAAGAGGCTTTGGATAGTTGAAATATGTTGGAAAAATGATAAAGTCAACAAGGGGGTGGCATGGGCAGCAGTAGTCAGAAAACAGAAATAAGGTTATTGAAGAAAGAAAGTATTAACAAAATATGGAATTCTGGGAAAAGAAGGAAAAGTATGTAATCTGGAGGCAGGTGATTAATGGACTTAGATGGTTATTTGTATTATTTCACAATGCCCAGTAGGAGGAGCTGGGAGGGTGACTTGGGTGGTTTTTTTTGCTTTGCTGTTTGTGTGTTTAAATTTCCTAAGTCATGGTGTATCAAAAAAAAAGAAAAATGTGTTTTAATTTGGCTTAGGTCTGAGGGTTCGCGTTTTTGGGTTTTTTTGAGGCAGGGGTGTGTGTGTGTGTGTGTGTTTGTTTTGAAAGGAGAGGACTTATGCTCAGGGCTGAAAAATCCTTTTGCTAGTGGAAACTACTGCTGAATGAGAGTGCCCAGCAACTGCAGTATTAGAAGAACTAGACTTTTCTTTTATAATAGTAGTGTATTCTAGCCTATATGGGTGTGAAAGCAACCTTCCCAGTATGAAATGTGCATAAGCAAAGGTTGTCCAACAACATGCAAGATTAACTACAGGTTCAGTGCAGACGTTTCTGTGAGCTGCTTGAATCAGAGCTGTGAACAAACCACTCAGGGCAGGTTTACTTAGCTGCAGGCAGAGACTTCTGGATATTGGTTAAGGCAAGGTGGAAGAAGTTGATGTTATGGTGGTGCTGCTGTTATCCCTAGCAGCAAAGGTAGAGTCCTCCTTGGACTGAGGAGGCCTAAAACCAGGAGTTGAGTGTGGGTAAAAGGCTGAAAACCCTTCCCAGTGGAGGTGAGTAGTAAGACAGCAGTGAAGGTCTTTCTGCATCAGCATTAAGCAGAAGAGGAGATTTGAGGGCCACAAATACTGGGTTATTAATTTTAGAGGAACAAATACAAGACAGTGTCTAGAAAGTACGATGCAATGATGGAGCTGTTCTTTGGGCAGCAGTGTGGTCAATAAATTTATCAGCATCCTCAGTTTCCTAAGTTGGGATCCTCACTAAAACTTTATCCAACAACCGTGCTCACTGAAACCCTTAGCCGATTGTAGCTTGCCTTTGCCTCTGCTCCTTCAAACTGGCTCTTAGGAATCTGGTGGATAAAGCACACTTTGCCCATGATTTACCTTCCTGCAGAAATTTGCCAAGTCTTTTGAGGGAGAAGGATACCTAGCTAATTAGCATGCTAATTAGCAGCAAGACCCTTTGTGTTAATTAGCAAAAAAAAATTGTAGCATGAAGGCCACCAATGTCAGTTGTCATTTAAGAGAAATCTGAACTGGAAATGCAGGCCATGGTCAGGCCATTATTAGGGGAAGATACAAAAGACTAGCATTTGTTTTAGTGGGACACAAAAACAGTATTAGGAATGTCTGTGAAATAGTATTAACAAATTGATAGCTAGGTCTAAGTGAATTAACTAGAAAAAAACACCCTTTTTGTCTCTTTAACTGTTCTAGAAGTTACACTGTGATAGACTAAGATAAAAGAAAACAGATGGTATCGTTACTGGATGCTGTTGTTATTGAATTGCTTTTCTATACTTATTCCTTGGCTAGAGTGAGAAATGCCTACATTAGAGTATGTAAAGTCACTTTAAATAGTATCTATATTTGTAACAGAAGTAGTGTACAGATATTTTGTTACTGCTGTTGTGTCTAAATAGAGGATTTAAGTTGAATAAATTCCAAACTGTCATGATCAAGAAATAAAGTTGCAGGTGTGTTTCTGGTTGCTTTACAATGGCATGCTTGCATTGTTCATTCTGTTGTGAAAGACTAATTCAAAAGAATTTAAATTAATAGCAAAAAAAATGGCATTACTCTTTATGTGAACCTTAAAGCATCTGCTAAAAATTGCTTTATTTGGATTTTAAGATTTTATCTTCACTTGCAAACTCTTAGGAAATCCATGAGACCAGATACCAAAACTATCTAGGGATTAATATGAAGCTGCCTTACTTTTTTGAAACAGACAGCATTAATCTTTGTTCAGTTTAAAAAGCATTCCTTCAGGCATGGGACTTGCCATGAGGGATCAAAACAGTCAACCATGGAGCCTGGGACTTTGCCTTTAGCTGTGACCCACGCTGCTGCTTCAGAGCACAGGATCTCCCCCAAGCCCCACACTGGGAAAGCTGTTGCATGACAGCTGCTTAGTGGCTGCCATGCACTGGACCATGAGGTGTGATAAACTTTGTAGGCTTAGGATGTTTGGTTTTCTTTATCATTTGGTATTCAACACAACTTCCATATTGCAGGGGTTAGTCCTGACTTGGGCGGAGACGTTACACGACGTAGTCACTCACGGGCGTGAGATGGGATGGACTGATCCAGGCGGTGGCGCGGAGGGGAATAGGAGGGTTCGACAAGCTAGCCAAAACCCCCACGCCGGATGGCCTCCCCGCAGGGAGCCTGCACCTTCCCGAGATAGACCAGATCGAGCTCACGATCTGGGAAGGAATGACCTTTGGCGAAAAGCGTTAGCACTGGGAGTACCCCAGACGATGCTGCACGGGCAACCCACCGATGCATGGGCAACCCACCGACCATATCCAGAAATGGGTGGAATTGCTAGAGGGAAAAACCAAAGATCAAGGGAGGACACTGGCAACCACCCTCCCTCACAGTAGCACAGACACAATTAACCCTTTTGCATCCTTGCGAGGGGAACTGAATGAGTTAAAAAACTAGAAGCCGCGGTTTAGGGTTCAGGCCCCCCACTCCGCACTGGTGAATTCCTGCCAATGGTCTGCTGACAAGAAACCTTATATTCATATCCCTGTGCGTCCAAAGCGAGTAAGTTTAGAGTTCTTAATTGATACAGGGGCCCAAATTAGTGTTCTAAATAAGCAACAAGCCAATGAGTTAGGAATTAAACCATTGAGAAAGACTATAAACATAATAGGGGTGATGGGTGCAGCAGGAAAATGTCCCATAGCTCAGACTCAACTTTGGCTACCTGGAGAAAAGCGGATGATGGCTGTGGAGGTGGCTCTAAGCTGGATTTGATATTAGCAGGCAAGCGATGGTGTTTACCTAATGGCAAGGTGTGGAGTTTTGGAGGTAGAGGAGCAGAGGCTGTTCATGTTAGGACTCTGCAGCTTGCTCCTGCACTACTGCTATCTAAAGTAACCTGCGTTTCTCAATATCTGCTACCCACCACAGCTAAACAGGGCATTTGAGAGGTAATTAGTGACCTCAAGAAGAGACAGATCATACGTCGCACACACTCCCCCTATAATTCTCCAGCCTGGCCAGTTCGTAAGCCAGATGGGTGGTGGCGCCTCACGATTGACTATCAAAGATTAAACGGTAATACCCCACCGCTAACGGCTGCTGTCCCGAGTCTAACCTCAACAGAAACAGCAATACAGGCAGCCACCCAGCCGTGGATGGCTGCCCTGGATGTCAAGGATGTATTTTGCATGACCCCATTAAGAGAAAAGGATAAGCCTCAGTTTGTCTTTACTTGGGAAAGGACCCAATACACCTTTAACCAACTCCCACAAGGATACAAACACTCGCTCACTATTGCCCACAATGCCTTGGCCAAACTCCTCGACACAGTGGAGGTACCATCAGGCATCCCCATATATTAGTAAATAGACAACATCCTAGTTGGTGGAGGTAATAAAGAACAGGTAGGACAAGTGGCCAAAGCCATCTGGAACCAGTTGACTAAAAACGGGCTAGACATTCCGCCTTCCAAATGTCAAGGTCCTGGACAAGAAATTGAATTCCTAGGAGCCTGGTGAATAGCTGGAGCAGTTGCGGTGCCTGATGACACTTACCAGCTATTGAAAAAGGGCAAGCTCCAGGCAATAAGACAGAATTACAGCAATTGTTAGGTACAATGGGCTATTGGAGAAAATATATGTCAGGGTTTTCAGTGATGCTTGCCCTTTATATGACTTGCTCTGAAAGAATAAGGAATGGGATTGGACTCCATGGCATACAGAGGCCCTTAATGTCCTAAAGGATGAACTTAAGACCTATCAGAGGCTAGGCCCACTACACTCACAAGACCCATTGAGGGTAGAATGAGGGTTCACAGAACATGCCTATTGCGGTATATTTCAAAAGGGACCGAGGGGGGTGGCTAGACCTTTATTACTCTCTTCTAATTCAAGGAAGCTGAACAACGGTACTTGGAATGGGAGAAGGGACTCCTCTCACTTACCAGGACAGTTAAGGAGGCGGAGAGGTTACGTACTTTGCAAGACATTATAGTGCAAGGCCCTTTTCCTCTGCTGAATTTGATCCTCAAGGGATCACCCCCTCCTGAGGGAGTGGCTCAGAAGGCCACGATACAGAAGTGGTATGCCTATCTAGAGGGAGTTAGCCAGTCACTGTCATTAAGAGAGGGCCCAGTCAAAGCTTCTGAGCTCCAACAACCTATGAATCTGGATCCGGTTTTGCTGAGCCAACCCTATAAACCTTCCCCGATCAAAGAGGTGCCCGAACTGACCGCAGGCTCAGGTACACAAGGAGTGTGGTTCAGATGCATCGGCCTGCCGAGTGGGATCCAGGTGACAGCATAAAGCAGCGGCATTGGAAATTGGTACTGATAAAACTGACCCAAGCCAAGCTATCTCAGTGCCAAACAACTTCAGCACTCAGAATTTCATAATACAGATAGGTCTAACCAAAATCAAAGCAGCCCAAACATTTGAGACTATTCATATCCAGACTGCTCATCCTGAGTCTTAAGAGTAGTTGAATTTATTCTTAAGAGACCATGACTAGCCACAGAAGCTACATTTTCAGCTAATGCATAATATATGCTACAGGAATCCAGAAAGCTATTCTGAGTATAAGAAAATCCAACAAGCACCCAACTTCCCACACAAATAGGAAAGAGCAAAGAGAGAGGATGTATGAATAATTAAAAAGAAAATGCTTGTGGGGTAAGCAGTTATATTATTTTTTATAATAAAGCTGAATTTTCTGATCATATTAAAATGATTTAAATATGTATAAAACATCTCCATTGAATTACCACTTTATTTCTAACTACTTCTTCTTCCTTT